GATTTGATGATATTTACCTAAGAAAGGATCCGCTCCACGATTTTGGAGTTCTCGGTGCTCTTGACAAAGAGCACACCACATGCAGAAGACGTGACTGCAGCAATCTGGAAAGGGTGTCTCAGGTAAAGAGAAGTGTTGCCTCAATGTTTTACGGTTTGACCACCCAAATATCCATCCAAAGAGCAAGACGCCTGTTGCAATGTGTAGGTGGGTTGCCTTCCTACATACTGCTCATGCAGTAGTCATGGCAAGAAACGCAATCTAACATTAGCTGTGTTGTTTAACAAGTATATTACCATTCCTTTGAGCATAATCTTTAGAGTAGTATTGCATGTTCAAATCCCTACATCATCAATAACAAAAACTACCTTAACATTTCGTAATTTATGAAAATTGGATAAAACCTCAGCCGCTTTCTAACCATTAGACTAATTGATGCCTCATTCGCTAGACATAATATCATGACATTACACCCATGAAATACTAATTAAGAAGGTAATTAGATGCAATTTAGGGTTAAGCATTGCTGAACTACTTAGTATTTACAAAAGTGATTATCTCATAAAACCGTAATTTGTAGTAAAATATTAAGAAATCTATCTTGAAATGGTTCACTGACTTCTTTTTAATCAAGGAGTTGGTCTCCCCACACAACTCAAAACACCCACCCATTTTCGTTTAGGTCCATTTTTATGCAGAAATAATGGAAACCCAAAGTTATCAAACACGAAATAAAAAGCAGAATGAGGGAAGAGTTTTGCGTACACATTTCTCCTCTGTTAATAATCTCTGAATTTCGACCCAGAGTGATGCATGGGCAGAACATGGTCACGAAACCTTCATTTAAAAAAAAAAAAAACTCGAAATTTAACAATATTTCAAAGTATTTTTCCCCTCAATACGAAGAAAAATTGAAAGGGGGAATAATTAAGAAAAGAAAGAAATAGGGATTACAATTAGAAGGATCCTCCCAACAATCGCAAAGACCAGTCGTCCATAGTCCCTCTGATATCTGCCTCATGTACGCCGGATAATATGCAGCTTCTTCAGGCTCTGGTCTGAACACCGGGTGACTTCAGGTCCTACCTTCTTATTCGTAAACATTGCAATTTTCTGGAAAAAGATTGCATCTGAATATGGAGAGAGAAAAAAGAGGGCCTGGCCTTTTCAGGGCATTGATTAATTCTTCGAATCAAAGCACTGATTTTTAGATTTATGATGCTTCTGGGCGGATGATAATGATGATGGTGGTGGTGGTGGTGGTGATGCAGAGGAGAGTTACAGATAAACTGCTGCAACAAACCAAATCGCCAAAATTGAGATAAAATTAGAGAAATACACCCTCTTTCCTTACCTCAATTTAGGATGACCTGTTCATGTCATGTGCATCGGGTCCATTCTGAGTGCAGAAATTTCGGCTCCGTCAATATTGAACTCTAGCCAATTAATCCATCCCCGTGTAAACCTGTCAAAGCCCGAGGTGAACTCATTTTGATTAAATAAATTCGATATTAAGTTAATTAAATAATTTAATTAGTTATAATAATTTTTTAAAAAAAAGCACAAAAAAATTAAGATCTTGACATTTTATGTAAATGTTAAAATTGTTTGTAAAATGATTTAAATATTTTTAATAAGTTTTTCTGTGTTGAAAAACCGCTGTGTAGGAACGAGTGGTAATCCCTCCACACAAGGGTTCTTGCCAAACTCATCTTAAAGGCATTCTCATTCTCCAAAAATCCCCGAAATTTATGTAGTTAAAAAAAATTTTGTGTTGATTTATTGAGTATATTTTAAAATTTTTTTATCATCATTCTTAATATTTTAATATTTCATAATAATTTTCTCTTCTTTCTCTTTTTTTTTTTTTTAAACCAAACAAATTACTAAAACTGAAAGTATAGAAAATTGTTAGTTTGTAATTTATTGACAAAAAGATCGGCTGTAGCTAAATTAAATAATAACGTAAATCTAGCATAATAAAATTCAGTTTCATTATATACAAATTATAAATAAAATTAATTATTGCTTAATAATTCACTTGTCAATGACTCGTTTATATATTTTACTTCGTTTGAAAATTAAAAGCATCATTTCAGAGATTGACACAAATTAAGTTTTTTTAGGGAAAGTAACTAAAATCAGAAGAGGGGAAATTTTTAGTGTGACAAAAACAAAAATTATAGTAGTATTTAAAAAGCACTCCTCTCCCAATATTCAAAACTCAAAATGCTTTATCCTTTTATACTTCACTGTCTTAGCATGGGGGGAGGACATCTTTTTGTTTTTTATTTTTATTTTTTTTTAATAATTTAAAATTATTTATATACATTAATTGAAAAAAAAAATGAATTCTGTAAAATTCAAACACGACATCCACGTAAAATAAATACTTTTAACCCAAAATTCATGCTACTAGGCGGAAAACGGTCGTTCATCTTTTTGTTTTGTTTGCTCTTGTTTAGAGTTATTTTTACATCACTGGATTCACTGTAACATCATTAATTAATTACATGGCATGTTATTTTAGCTACTAATAAAAAAAAAGTTTAAGAAATTATTTATTTTGAAGGTACAATAAGAGGGATCTGGTCCGTGCTGCAACACAAGTACTATTATCGAGACTATTAACGGGGGGAAACAGCCCAGCGGCACCCGCAGATGATCGTTGCTTTCGCTGTCCAAAGACTCCAAACGAAATCAGGAATTCATAAAATATCTTCCCCTTCTTTATATATATCGCTTTGCCAAGAAGAATTCCTCTGTGTCTAAATTGCGATCGATCAAGTGGGTTTAATTCAAGAATGAGTAGCGTGGTTTCTTCAATGGATGCAATTTCATCTTCATTCTCTCAACCCGAATTCGAGTCTTTGCCTTCCTCTTCAAGAATGCTGCCTTCTGATGATGCCCCCATGTTGCCCTGCTTCCTGCCTATCCCAGACAGCCCAGTTGGTTCCGAGCTGCAAACCCTAAAAAACCCAGTTCTTGATCATGAAAAAAAAGGTCCTGTTTCCTTGGCTTTGCCTTCCTCTTCAACAATGCTGCCTTCTGATGATGCCTCCGTGTTGTTCTGCTTCCTCCCTATCCCAGAAAAGCCAGTTGGTTCCGAGCTGCAAACCCTAAAAGACCCAGTTCTTGATCATGAAGACAAGGGTCCTGTTTCCTTGGACTTGACTCTTACTTCTGCTTCAGGGTCCAAGAAAAGGCCACCGGACGCTGAAAATCCTCAGAGGAAAAGAAGAAGGAGAGTTGGCAATTCGATGACTGAACTGCGGCTGGGTGTTGATCCATGGAGCATCAAGAAGACTCTTGAACCGAGCGACCTCGTGGGTGGTCTTTCCAGGCTGCTGGTGGCATCAGAGGATGTTCAGAATCACATTCTTCCCTACTTGGATACCGTCAGCGCTGAAGAACTGATTAATGGCCACAACATGGCGGTGGTAGTGACGGATGTGGACACGAAGACTAAAGTGGAGATGGTGTTGAGGCGATGGATCAGCAGCGGAAGCTATGTCTTGAAGAAGAACTGGGTCAACGGTTTTGTGAAAAGAAGAGAACTGCAGGAGGGAGACGAAATTGGACTGGAATGGGATAAGGGCAATTCAAGTTTCAATTTCAGCGTTCTCAAACGGGCTGCAACTGCATGATGATTCTCAAGATCAATCTCAAACATGGTTAATTCCACAGGCTTAACTAATCTAGTCTAGGGTCAGTAGTAGAGATAAGTCAGACTGATTAATACCATCAATCTGTTGTTTTCTGTTTCTTAACTACGAAACTCATGATTGATGATCTTTTGAGTCTTAATCATTCATTTTTTTTTTTTTGGTACGTGATCAGCATCAATCTTAATTATGCTACAATGTCATGTTCAATTTTCCTTATTATTGTTCATTAATGGAACAGTACCCTTTGATCCAATCTCTTATGCATTTTATTAATAGAACAGTATCTTGTTTGCTTTAATTAATCTTTATTTAGTAGTTTGTTTGGCTGAAGAGAAAATTGAAGGAATTGTGCATAATAATGCATGGATTGCCATTCTGTTTGGCTGAGAGGAAATTAAAAGAATTGGAATATATATGTAGAATTGAAAAATATGCATGGTTGCTTGCTTTTTCTTATTTTTATGTGGTTTATTTGTACAATTTCCAGACGGGTTCTCACCATTAAAGAACATATCAAATTAGGATCTCTTCTTGAATCTTTATTAAATGGAAAGAAATAAAAGAAAATCTTTCCTAAATCTTGAATTGAATCCTTAATGATGCGCATCAATTTGCCATATTGATGATGAGTAATAAATGTCAAGCAACGGTGATAAAATACTTTTACCACCTTACCCCTTCTGTATGCCAATTGGCAATTGCCACCTCTGCAGCCTTCAAATTCAATTAACAGGCCCAACATCACCGAATTGAACCACGTAGCCCATCTAGTGAGAGCCCACTATTAGACTCCCATATTCATCCTAACCCACCATCCAGCCTTGAGACTCCTGGGCCTGGCACCACAAGCCCACACGAATCTAGTTTACCGTTTCCCCAACAGTTTTTTTTTTTCTTTTTGAAAAGACACGTTTGCTGTTATCTTTTTAAGAACAGAACCGTCCTCTTCTCTTTTTCTCAAACTCTAACCCGCTCAATCCATACTTCAATGGACTTCCAATCTCCGGCTCCATCAGCACCGCCCCTGGCACTGCTTGATTCCCGCATGGAGCAGCCGGTTACAGCCAAAAAAGCAACAAATCCGGTCACAAAGATTTCATTGGATTCCCATTCTCCAGTACCCTGGTCCACTGGTCTTTGCGGTTGCTGCAGCGACATCAGCAGTTGTAAGTGACATTATGCCCTCAAACTGGCGGTTTTGTATGACAGTTCAATATATTGTTCATGTTCCATGCTTTCCAATTTCCAATGATGTTACTGTATCTACGCACTAACAATCAACCTTCTCTGTATTGCAGGTTGCTTAACTTGTTGGTGTCCATGTGTTGCATTCGGTCGAATTGCAGAAATTGTTGACAGGGGATCCACTTGTAAGACCCAAAAAACTATTAATATCATATCATATGTTGAAAAACTTAATTTCACCTTAAAGTGCTTTAATTAATTACTATGTAAATTCTTCTTGAACAGTACATAACATAATTTCAATGTGTGATGTTGGTGCAGCATGTGGGGTAAGCGGTGCATTGTACGCATTAATAATGTGTTTTACGGGTTGTTCATGCTTGTACTCTTGCTTCTATCGGTCCAAGTTGAGGGGACAGTTTTTTCTGGAGGAAAGCCCGTGCACAGATTGTTGTGTCCATTTTTGTTGCGAGGGATGTGCGCTGTGCCAAGAGTATAGAGAGATTAAGAACCGCGGATTCGACATGTCCATAGGTCTATATATAATATAGGCATATTTGATATAACTCACATGATATATTTTTTTGTCTTTAATTTAAGCTCATTTTTTCTTGTGTGTGTTTTCTGTCTGAGTGTGGCAGGGTGGCATGGAAACATGGAAAGGCAGAAACGAATCGCTGCAAAAATGCCTCCGGCAACAGAAGTTGGCATGCTCCGGTAACAAACTAAATAAAAGAAATTAATTCTGATTTTATCTTTATTTTTGGGATGTCTTTTTTTCTTTTCTTTTCTTTTTCTTTTTCTTTTTCTTTTGGTAATATGGTATGCCTGGTTGGAGGCACGAAAGGTTTTTCTTTTCAAATTCCTACCCTCGAAATGATTCATTTGGATTTAGATTTTTTT